CCGGGCGGCTCTTCCCGCTGCTCCCAGGCCGAGCCGCCCTGCCCGGCGGCTCCTTCCCCCGTTAGATCATCGCCTTCTTGGCAGCATCCGCACAGCACTCAACGCGGGCTTCTGGGGAGCTGCAGAGAAGGGGAGGGGGGCCGCACGCACTCCAGACAAAGCGGCTTTTTATGCTAAAGCTTCGCGTGTTTTAGGGCTCTCCCATCAAAAATGCCCTCGGGGGCAGCGGGCGGGATGCGGGAGGCTCCCCTTCGCAATCTCCACCCATTTCCTGTGCTCGCTTTTGGCAGAGCACAGCACATCTTCGCTCGGCTGTCATTAACTGTCCGTGGGAGTGAAAATCTGAAAGGAAAAGGTTTTTCCTTTGCATTTTGCATTTGCCCTAGCGTGGTGATTCTGCCCAGTCGCTATGGAGGCGTCTCAGGAGTGAGGGAGAAGCACAAGCTCAGAAATTCCTTGATCATGAAGTTCCTCTGCGACTACAACACAAAATAAAATGCATTTCAAATGTTATGTAGAATCCACTTCTCTCTGCTTTTCCCAGCCTTTAAATGGAGGAATATTAGTAGTGCTGGAGCAGTGGGGGGAAGATTGTGGGAAGATACATTTCCCAGTCCCAAGAGGGTCGCCTCTGGATAACACCACTCCTTTCTCTGCACGGTTGTGCGCGGATAACGCTGTAGCCTGGGTCAGCATTTTGACCGGGACTGTGGCAAGGGAGCATCTGTTTTGTATTGCATGCGGAGCATACTTTGCTTGAACTGTTGCTCTTCGTTCCTTTTCACCATTTTAATTAAACCAGAAATGCAACTGCTGCAGAGGACAAAAGCTATTCTCTGACTCACTTTGGCACATTTTATTAAAATACATTTCAGTGGATACATTTTCTGGTGTTTTGTAATTGCTCAAAGCAGAATTGAATAATGTGGTATATAGCCTTACTGTTTTCTTGGCCAAAAAGTCTGATCACAAAACCTCTCTGTTGTTTCTCTCTCCAGTGAGTACAGAGGTTTGGTCAAACACACGGGAGGCTGTCACTGCGGAACCGTCCGCTTTGAGGTCTGGGCTTCAGCAGATCTGCATGTTTTTAACTGCAAGTGAGTTGGTTTTTTGTTCCCTATTCTCATCGATGAATAAAAGCTCGTATGCTTTTCCAGTCAATTCCTTAGAGCTGAAAGAAGATGACACAACTGCAGAACATCCTCTGCGCTGTTTCCATAGGGTGTAACCCTAATTACATCTGCAGCCAATATGGGAACAGTGCTGGTAATTTTAGGTGCTGCTTCTTTGGGCAGGACTTCAGGTCTCACATCCATGCTCATGCAGAAAGTGTCAGGAGAGATGTAATGAGTACTGGTGCTCAGCCATCTGCTTTATGTTTCCTCTAAGTGCAGTGTGCTCAAAGCACATCAATCCTTTTTTAACTTGGTCTTCTCAAGTGAAGATCTCTGACCAGAGGTGCTTTGAACTACTACAGTGTCTGATTTCAATAGTGATCCCCCTTTGCCTGCAACTAGTTTGATTCTAGCTCATAGGTAAACTTCTGAATATTGCTTTCTTGTTTGCCAGGTAATTAATGTTGGCAGAATTGGCAAAGTCTGGTCTGAAAGATTAAATGGATTTCTTCGGGCTGCAGTTTGTCCTTGTTATGTCTGTTGAGAGTTGTACATGTTTGGTGTAGGAGAATACCTTCTTGGTGTACTTGGGTAGGGTCAGTCTGTTCCCTGGGTGTGCTTAGCCAAACACTGATACCAGAGGCCACTTTTGCCGCTTACCTTTGTGATGCTAACCAGGAGCCATTGCAGCTGTCAGTGGAATTTCTGTTGTCAAGAGGTCCATGCTAGATCTGATTGCTGTACTACAACTTGTCTGCTGCTTCTAGAAAGGTCTTTTTCTTTTACAGTTGCAGCATTTGCACAAAGAAACAGAACAGACACTTCATTGTCCCAGCGTCGCGTTTCAAGCTGCTGAAGGTAGAGTAAGAATGCAGTAAGAACATGGCCATGAACATGAGCGGTATAACCCAGTGTTATCCTCAAAGATGCAAGCGACAGCCAGTTTTCTGTCCTAAGTTTGTCTATGACTGGTTGGGGGAAATGGCTGAATTTTATACTGTTTGGTGTGGGTGTTAGTGCATCTTATTTAGTGACCTGACGTTAGAGTTCTTGCAGTTCTCAGGCTTGACTGGGAGGGACACATGTATATACAAAACACATGGGTTCAGAAAAGGAGCATGAATGCAGAACTCTGTATCTCAAGTAAAGACATGAAGGTGGTATTTAACTTCTACATTTCTTAGCTACGTGCCCACAGAAAGTAATTAATACATCTATTTATGTGGAAAACTTACATTGCTTTTCATTTGCTTAGGGTGCTGATAACTTGACAACATACACCTTCAACACACATCGTGCCCAGCACACGTTCTGCAAGACCTGTGGTGTACAGAGCTTTTATACTCCTCGTTCTAATCCAGATGGTTATGGTATGTAGAAAGAGTAAACTGTGGTAACCAAAGCTAACCACCAAGCAAATCTTGGATAAAGACTCCATGGGCCACTAACATGACAGCAGTGAGCAGCATGTGTCTTAAGAGCAGCCTGAACCTGTAGCAGCTCCATGAGAAACAGTCTTACCTATGACCTGAGGGTTTCTGCCCATGAGAGGTTTCTCATTTAGGCTCCTCAGCCTTAACTGAGCATTTACCAGTCTGTGAGATGCCCCATCCCACAGAGCAGTGCAGGCATCTCCCACGCTTTAGCTATGAAAAGCGGGTTTTTGTGTACTCTGTCTTTCTTCAGGAATAGCTCCCCATTGTCTGGATGATGGAACCGTGCAGACCATTGTCACAGAGGATATCAATGGCAAAGAATGGGAGAAGGCAGTGAAGGAACATAAGACCATCAGAGACATGTCAAAACCCTGACATACTCTTCCAGCAGCTGAACTTGGAGCACTGCCGTGGAACTGTAGTCTGGGCTTTCCTGGGTGAGGGTCGGCAAAATCAGTCTTTACATTGTTGTTATATGTTCTCTGTTTCTTAAATAAATCTTTCAATGCTGCCCGTCCCGTTCATTTGTGACTTTCAGTTTTCAAATTACCTCTGTTCCATAAACCACCCCAGGGCTGCTATTTTGGTACTTTGCCCTTAGCTGTGCTAAAGTTTAAATCACAATAAACAGAGCAAAGTACAAAAAAAAAACCAATCTAATTTTTGTACGGATATTTCGTGTGTTTCAAGTCTGGCTTATAAAAATGCCCTATATAAGATAATCTCTTGCTTAGGACACAATACTGACTTACACTGTTTTTTCTCCATTGACTTCAATGAATTGACCGTGGATTTAGCGTTAAAGGGGATTTGAAAGAGCTTAGCAGGCTCAAGTTCAGTAAAGCATTTACACAGGTGCTTAGCTGTATGCAAGAGAGGCGCCACTGAAGTTATTCAAGTGATTAAGTCCTGTTTTGCTTAAGCCTGGACTTACTCATGGTCTTATGGCTGAGTAGGCATATGCTCAGGCGCTGACTCATGGCCAGGGAACAGAGTTCAACACTGCCATACTCTAACAACAATGGGCACCTACTTCAGTACAACCAGGAACTCGTTTGTTGTCTTCCGGGGGAGGATGTGTTCACAGCAACAGATCAGGATCTGGTAATTTGGGCTCTGCCCCTGGCTGTGCAATGCCTAGCTGTGTAGATGCAGGGAAGATACCTCCTGCAGATGTGAGTCCACGTTAATGAGTGCAAAGGCCTACAGAAATGTTGAGTATTGCTGACTTTGCTTCACCATGATCCCACGGAAACCCATATCACTAGTAAAATCTCTACGTAAACTAAGAAGTGAAACTCTAAAATCTCCTTTGCTTACCTGTTAACATAAAGGGAGAGGATCTTTAACTCTTGCACTTGTCATTCACGTAAGTGGAACAGCTTTTAAAACATCTCTTGCAATTTTTATCTCTGCACGTGCTCCATAAAAGACCAAGTTACAGTCTGGGTCTCTTGCACCTCATTCTTACATCCTGTTGAGAGTCTCATGAGTTGATCTCAAGCTCCACGTTCTGAAGAAGAAATGCTCATGTTTCATGAGGGACATGCCTGTAACACAATGTGTATGAAAGAAGCAGCAGTGGCAGCAAAGATCGGTGCAGTTAAGAGAAATTTGTATGGTTTCTGATGTTTTATTCATAAGCTTTGGCTTTTTAAAGTTCTGACTGAATAAGACAGGTCTTGTGGTTCTAGTTTGATCTGTGGCTATAGCGTGATCTTTGAAAAGTCACTCCTGATATTTGGATTTTACAGAAGCACCAAGAGACAGTTGCCAAGCCATCCTCACTATATCCTCTTGGGGAAAAATAGTTTGTGCCATATCTTCTTCAATGCAGAATACTCCTGCATTTTACTCCTAATTAGGTTAATCTGAATTTCTTATCCCATTTAAGCTTCTACAGTGAGAAACTGGAGCAGTTGTTGAACCCTGTTCATCTCAATGTATCAGGCAACAAGATATTCAGAAGCAAGTTCATACAGCCTGTTTTTAGTAGTCTGAAAGAATGCTGCATGAAGAGGATCCCGTCCTCTTTAGCACATAACAGGTGAGTTTTCTTTTGTCCTTGGCCTGACATGGTCTTTTACTCATTCTTTGACTCCTGAAGTTGTGAGCGGCGTCTCTTTTACAGAAGGCGGAGTGAATTGATCACCATATAACGTGAGAAAAGCATATAGATGTGGCGAAACCAGAGAAGCTGGCTGCGATGACACCGCATGGCTCTCTAAAAAGAAAAATAGTTGAGAAAGCATTACGAGAACTTTCCAGACCTAATGAGAGGAGAGTTTCGTAGGCCTCCTTTGAAGTTCACTGCCAATTTATAGGAGATCCTGTTTCCAGTGAGCAGGGAATAAGCAGTGGGAGATAGAAGCCTGCCTACTCTACAGGGCCAAAGGGCAGGGAGAGGCCTGTCTGCCCCTGTGTCGCTGTTGGTGTGCTGCCTGGGGTTCAGAGGGGTCCTGCTAGTAAGGACGTTATCAGATGCAGATTGGAACTGTGACAGTTTTGTTGTCACATGTAATGCCTCCTCCCTATGTGATCTCACACCTCAGTGTTCACATGCTGGGGAAGCAGAAACGTGATAGCTGTGCATCTGAGAACACTTTGCATACTGCTTCCGATCATAGGTTGCCAGCTAAAACTTAACCTATTTATAGCACACCAGCTTAGAAAGGTCAGATTTCAGAAACAAAACCACAAAGGAATAATGCCACCTTTGTCAGAGCAGTTTTCATACGTAACTCTATCTTTTAGCAGCCTCAAAAGCAGGAAAGTTCTGTAATTTGTGGATTAACAGGACTGTTTGCTGGGCAAATACTTTCATGCTGTGAAAGGAGAACCAATCAGATTCTGATATAAGGAACTGTGCACTAAATGCACATGCAGAAAAATAGTTCAAAAAATACACAGTAGAGAAGGGAACTCATAAAGAGCTTTGGACCACAAGTTCACAAGTTGTCTCCATCTTTAGTTAGAGCTATGAACCAAGGACATTGTTCCTGGCATGCAATCATGCCATTCTTTGACAGGCCACTCACATGTTCAGAATATTATGTTGCATCCAGTCCTCTTTGAAATACATCCTAGACACGGTGTAAAACTCAGGGCAGCGTGACTACTGAAGACCTCTGAGCTGCAAATCTGCTCAGCCCTGTCCTGCTGTCCACACAGCACATGAAGCAACCTGTCTTGTCCATTCATGTTTTACAAATCACTGATGAGTGACATTTATAATCCACATATAATTATTTGTGAAATTCGCTGTGCATATGACACTTCTGACTAAAGTCTTCACAAGGATGATGAGCTATTCAAACAGGTTAAGCAGGTACCACGCATCTCACCCTGGCTTGTTCCGTCTCCTCCTCTGTGAGTATGAAGAGTGCATCTCTGGGCCGGAGGCAGGAAAGGGGTACATCCAGGATGGAGATGTACTTCCGGAAGAGATTTACTGATTCAAGCAGGAGCACATGGCACCCTAGACAGAGAAAGAAGATAAATATTTCAAAACAACAATATTCTTGAGAGGGTCCCACCTCTCCAGGCTCAGCAGGTCTTTGCAGGCTCCCCTGTATTGCTGGCCACGGGGAGCTTTTTTGTGCAAAAGGGGAGCAATTTCTACTCATGCTTCCACCAGGATCTCTTCGTGCACAGTGCACGTCAATGACCATTTGTACTGGTTCTTGTTCTGTATGTGGTCTGTGGAAAGCAAAGCTAGCTCTGAATACCAGAGGGTTTGTTTTAGGGTTTTTTTGCTTATAATTTAAATTATTCCTACGTAGTTAGACTCAAAGGAAAAAGCACAGGATGGCTCTCTGAATGCTGGCACTATATCATATAATGGAAATGTAAAACAGCAGCACAAAAACATTCAGCTACAAAAATGAAATTTCCTCTTTCTACTCCAATTCTTAGCTACAGAAAAAATATTTACAAGATTCAGGAATGGCTGTATCAAATATTAACTCAGGCAGGCAGTTACACTTTAACAGAGTTCCAGAATTCATTGCTTAGATATTTGTGATTAAACAGATGAAGGTAACATGTATAAAGATTCCACTGCTGTGGATTTTTTTTTCTGTTTTAAGGAGCCCCTTGAACTCAAAAGTTAATTGCTATTTTTTTTACCATGGCTAAATTGTCTTCACCGATTAGCTCAGAGCTACTGATGGTCCCATTAAGAGCCTGTAGCTCTCAAGGGAGCTGCTTTGGGATTTCTTAGGGCTTGGAAGCTGCTGTGATTATGCTCCACACTTCAGACATTGTATTAAAGTTCGACAGAAGGGGCCAAAGTCACAGTTTACACAGGTGGTCAGATACGCAATTAGGTTTGCAATGAGATTTTCTTCAGTGTGCCCTTAAACAGTGAAATTATACAAAGGAGAGAAAGAACAATGCTGAATTGCTACAAGGGCTGCCTGATGGACCATTTGAGTGTGTGAAGCTGCTGCTCAAGTCTAATAGTGCTTAAGCTGTTATGTCCTGACCACAAAGCGAACTAGTGGTGCTCAAATATCTCTTGGCTCTAAAATGTAGGGAGGACTTGTGTCTTCCTAAGGGAAAAGACTCTCCAGGACAGGGGCAGAAGCAAACATCTTTTCTGAAAAGAGTGAGGTGGGTTTCTGTGAGACAGGTGACGATGCCTCTGCTCAGAGCCCTGTGTGCAGATCTGCAAAGGAATCTCATCCCACAAGGATCTGAACAGTCAACCTGCTGCTAACTTCCCTACTTTGGACATTTGGTAGATCCTTCACTATAGCCTTTATCAAGTATGAGATAGGAAAGCAAAAGTTGCAACTCCTATGGTAAGTTAATTTCCTGGAGTCACAAGGGAAGAAGCCCCCAAAAGTCTCCAAGGTAGAGCACGGTACTTGAAGATACCCCACCAGCACCATTCCTTCCCCAGCCGGGTCTGTGAGACACTGAACCCAGGAACAAACAGAACACATGGGATGATCCTCCACAAACCGCCTCACAAGTGATGTGTCCCCTGACTCTTCCCAGTGACACTAACTCATTTCACCGCAAAGAACGATCTCGCTTTTATTCCAGCCAAAGCCTGCAATGGCAGGACACGGCAGCCCTGACGGGCTCCCTCCAGCACATCCGCAGGATCTTTCAGTTCCTTTCTTTCTTCTCTCTCCTTGAAAAGAAGGCTGTACAACTTGTTCCAACTTCTCAGTAGCCTTTTCCACTCTCAAAAGCAAAACTGGTAACTCTTTCTTTTGGTATCACCGTGCTCCCCTTCCAGTTCTCTTGCTGCACTGATCCTGGGACACTCCTCCCCAGCAGGGTGGAGAGAGCATTCAAAGGAGTTTTTTTCTCCTGCTGTGGGCAGCAATGGGAAGGGTTAGAAGCTTCAGGGGAAATCACCG